TCATCTCTCTTGCTCCCAGACTCCCCTTGCTGTGCTCCATCCATCTCCTGAAATACCTGTTACCTCTTGCTAAGTTCAAAGCAGTTCTCACCTAGATCACTTGGGATCTCACTGAAATGCAGACCCTTATTCAGAGGGCACGGAGAAGGCCCAAGATTCTGCATTTCTAACCAGCTCCCAGATGATGCTAATGCTGCTGGTCCCTGGAGACCTAGGGCAGTGGTTCTCAATCTCAGCCACACATTGGAACCCCCTAAGGAGATCAAAACATTCTGAGGCCTGGGTCTCAACCCAGAGGTTGTGGTTTAAGTGGTCTGATGTGTGATCTGGGCACTGGAATTGTTAAAGCTCTCTCGGTGGTCCTAGGATGCAGCTAGTGTTAAGAACCACTGACCACAACGCAGATTCCAGTCTCCCGGCCCCAAGGCATCTGCTCTTCATCAGATACTCTGTCCCTTTCTTTTAGAGGTTGGCTTCCCTCCATCTTTAGTCCAGTCCATCTCCCTATGTATTACCCTGGGGTCCTGGGGTTCACATACACCATGATGCAAATTGTACCTATTGAACCTGTGCAAAATTGGGGCTTCGTGAAGTCACTCCCAGGTGGGCCTGGCTGAAGGACTGGTAGTTGAAAGCAAGTGTGAGGGGACTGTGGAGCTGGCACAGAGTGGAAGAACAGGATTAGAGCAGTGGGGCACAGGCTTCGTTCTGCAGCTGCCTTGGGGTTCTTTGGGAACCATGTGCATTGCACCAAGGACTGTAGAAATGCCTGCAGCGTCTGCCCTAGGTGGGGTTTGGTAAACCACACTCTGCACTGAAGGAGAATGTCTCCACTCAGCCCAACTCCTGGCTCCTGTTCTGGTGTTTATTCTGTCAGACGTTCTTTGGGGCTGAGTAGAATTTTACCATGAAGAGTCGCTGTTTAGTGTACATTTCTACCATGTCCCCGGATATCACTCCCTCCAACTCTTTCTCAAATGTCACTTTCTCAGTGCAGCCTATGCTGACCGCCTTATCTGAAGTGTCATGCTTTATGCTCTGTATTTCCCCTACAGTACCTACCACCTATAGTAAACCACATAATTTACAAACATAATTTGTTATGTTTGTTGTTTGACTCTCTCACCCACTCAAATGTAAGCTGTCCAAGGGTTGTTGCCTGTTTTGATGACAGTGCCTCTGTAGCAACGTGGTGGGTACTGGCATTCATCTGACTCCCAGACCTTCCCCTGCCTGGTTTCTGAATCCTGCCGCTTGCCTGGTGCCCTGCCTGGCTGCACCCCAAGGCATGCTGCTGTCTCAGGGCCAGGCCCGCTATTGCTGACTGCAGACTGTGGGTGGCTCCAGACACCTGCCAGTAGTAGCTCTTTACCTGGCTGTGAGTTCCCAGTCTCAGCCACCCCACTTCACACCTACATCTTTCCAATAACCAGACCTTGGTCCGGTTAGGAAGTTTTGCTATCCAAACAAAAAAACAAAAATCAACATTTCAGTGGGTTTTTTTTTTTTTTTCAACGTTTTTTATTTTTATTTTTGGGACAGAGAGAGACAGAGCATGAACGGGGGAGGGGCAGAGAGAGAGGGAGACACAGAATGGGAAACAGGCTCCAGGCTCCGAGCCATCAGCCCAGAGCCTGACGCGGGGCTCGAACTCACGGGCCGCGAGATCGTGACCTGGCTGAAGTCGGACGCTTAACCGACTGCGCCACCCAGGCGCCCCTTTATTTTTGTTTTTAACATTTATTCATTTTTGAGAGAGAGTGTGCAAGCAGGGGTGGCGCAGAGAGAGAGAGGGAGACATAGAATCTGAAGCAGGCTCTGGGCTCTGAGCTGGAAGCACACAGCCTGACATGGGGCTCGAACCCACGAGCCGTGAGATTATGACCTGAACCGAGGTTGGATGCTCAACTAACTGAGCCATCCAGGAGCCCCGACATTTCAGCATTTTAAGGAGCAACATAAAATGACTTTTCGTCCCATGGAAGCAGGTACAGATTGGAGTCTCCTGTTTGTGGGGAAACAAATAGTTTGTTTCATCCCCTTCTCTCTTTGGAACCTTGTGCTTGAGGTAGAAGGAGCAGACTCTGAGGGGCATATGCCATTCTCCTGGGGTACACAAGGCACAGAGGCCAAAACATGGCCTGGCTCCTTCCGTTTAACGTGCAGGCCGTCTTCCTGCTCGCTGCTCACCCTGACGCCGGCCCAGGCAAACGGCCCTTGCAGCTCCCCTCTTTAGTTATAACTGCAGGAGGTGCTTGCGTCACATTTCAGATGACAGTGAAAGGCCATCATTTTTAGGGGCCACAAGTAACTGGACTGGGTTTTCGAGAAGATGTGGAACTGGAGCGATGTCTGCTTTGGGGCATGGCAATGACAGTGCTTGCAGTGATCAGTGATCCGGTGATTCGGGAGAACTTGACAGGAGGGCAGGAGGGGAAGTGATGAGCCACAAGAGAGGTGTGAAAGATTAAAATAGGGCCACTGGAAAGTGGGGGCAGGAATGTCACACTGGGAGAGGAAGAAGGGGGAGTAGGTGAGACATGCAGATGAATCAGGAGAGGTCAGCTGAGTAGTGATGGCCAAAGAGATCTTACAGTTCAAAGGGTCTTTCATATCCACACGCAGCTGATAGCACCTGTGGGCAGCAGCCTCTAAGCTTCTCTGGGGCTCCGTCCCTCTGAGCTGTGAGGTGGAGGCTTCGGCGCCCCTGTCCTTCTTTCCTGCCTACCCTGGACAGACACACCTAGTCCTCTGTCTGGCGGCCCTTCTCATGGCCTTTCCTTCACAGGCACTGGCTTCTCACCTGACCAAATCACAGCCACCCTTACCAGGCCCCCTCAACACCCCTCTGCCCTGAATACAGGACACCCAGTTAAAGTTGAATTTCAAATAAACAATGAATACTTTCTTTAGTATAACTATGCAATGTTTGGGATATACTCACACTAGAAAATTGTTCATTGTTTATTTGAGATTTAACTGGATGTTCTGTGTTTTATCTGGCAACCCTACTGAGCTCCATATGATGTCAGTTTGGGATTTACCCTGTAGCCTCTTGCTTATGGGTTGGCCCATGTGAGTCTGCAAGAAGTTGGAGAGAAGTGTTTCTGCATCAGACTTTGAAACCCATCTGCAGTGAGTGATGGAGGCATTCATCAATGGCCTTCACAATCTGGTCTCCACTCACCTTTGTCTCCCTGTCTTCTGCTTGTCCCTTAGTGAGAACTCTCTCTGGCCTGGCTGGTCTCCTCATCCTCACCCCATACTCTTGGGCCAGGTGGGGCTCACATCAGTCCCCTCTCAACCCTGTCCAAAATACCTTCTTCCTTTTCCACAATCACCTGTTGAAATCCTTCTACCCCTATTTGTGGGACCAGATCCCTGAGGCTGGAGACTGAACCCCCGAGTCTTTGCATTCCCTTAGAACCAAGACAGCACCTGTCATTCCCATAGGTTTTGGAAACTCTCCAGAAAGACTTGAATAAGCCAAATTTCCTGCCAGGTTTTTTGAAGAGCCATGAGCTTTGTACCACCTTCCAACAACTGGGGGCTCCGTCAAGCTTTCCCTAGATGGATTCTGAGGGAGAAACTCCTCCTTTGAAGCACTCACAGTATTCCTTTGGGGAGAAGAGAGCATCTCAGAATTCCCTCTTCCAGTGACACTTTAGGATCTTCAGGGCATCGGGCCCTGACCCACTTCAGCGGACACTTTAGTTATAAAGCGTCCCTGTGTGCAGAGGATGGGGACAGCCAGCTGTCTGGGTCATCAAATAACTTTCCAACATCATCATCATCATCATTAGCAATCCATTTCAGCTCCATGGTGCTTTATAGATCAGATACATTCCCTCATTTAACTTGCAACAATCCTAGGAGTTAAGGAGTTTTACAAATGGGAGGCTGAGGCCTGAAATGCACAGATAACCTTCACACATAGTCCTGTGTGTCTGAAGGTGGAGCCAGAAGTGGGGACTCCCTGACTAGCACTGTCTCTGCTACTTCAGGATGCCTAATTCTTCCTCAAGACGGCAATGAGGTTTGGCCTCAATACCACCTGCCCCCTCAGAGGCACCTCTTTTTCCCAGGATCTTGTGTTCCTGAAGGGAGTACATCAAATGCCTGCCCCAGCTCTGAGGTTTTTCACCTCCTTCCCACTTCCAGTCCTACTCAGGAAAAACTCCATCCTCGGTGACTTGATCTCTACCTGTGGTTGTTCAAGATCATCTAGGCAGGGTTTCCGAAAATATCTTCCATGAAGCACTAGTCCCACCAGATGCCCTGTGACATGAGGGTGCTGTCCAGCAAGTTTGGAAAGCACTGGTACTATAATCCCTTTTGAGCATGATGATGTAAAATAACATATTAAAGGCACTGCAATGTCCTAGAAAAATAGAAAAATAGCCATTTGACTTTGACCCCAATTTTCCAAAACCTATCCAACCATAGAATTATCAAGTAACAACCATTAACATTCTGTGGAACTAGGATTCCATACAACCCCCTCTGAGAAATAGGGATTTAGCTCAGATCTCTTTTTATATAGCTGAAAACCACTGAAAATTCATTCATTAATTTATCAATCATTCATTAGAGGCGAACTGAGGGTCTCCTAAATGCAGAGTTTGTGCTAGGTTCCACGACTAGACAGACAGACGGTAATAACAGCTCGTTTTCATGCAGTTCTTACACCTAGCCAGGCTCTCCACTGACCTTTGTGATCTCCAGTGTTTGCAAGAAGCCCATGAGATGTGGGTTTCACACCCACTGTAAAGATGAGGAGACTGAAACCCAGATGGATGCTGTGTGATGCCCAGGTCAGCCTATAAACCTAGCTGCACCTTTTTATGATTGGTTTTGCTCTTTGTGATTCTATCCAGTGGCCTCTTGAATAAGGTTGCATTTTGCTGGGAAACGTAGAGCCTGGGAGGAATGATGAGGGTATGTTTGGGACCAGGGCTGTGGCCAGGATCTTACCTCCTCTCCCTCTTGTGTCCCCACAGGTCTACCTGGCTGAAGCCGTGCTGTGGGAAGAGAGCAGCCGTGTGGCAGGTATTTTTGCTCAGTGCAAGTCTCAACAGTTTCCTGGTAGCCTGTGTAATATTGGTGGTGATTCTCCTGACTCTGGAACTTCTAATAGATATAAAGCTTCTCCAGTGTGAGTAGCAAGAGAGATACATATGCAAATACATATGATGTCAATATTCAGTGTGCATCCATCAGGGGTCCCCAACCAGCAGTGCAATATGCCCCCAGCCCAATGCCACTGTTATGACCCTGGCCCCATGGCTCATGGGGATTACTGCCCGGGGAGGAAATCTGACAGCTTCTTTCTCTGTCCCCCCAAGTACCTGTTTGCCCCTTTCTACCCAATGTGGCCTCTCCAGTCCCCCTCCCTAGCATTCCGTGATCAGAAACTGATGAGATAAAAAATGTTGGGGACCCCTGTATGCACTTTTCTTTTTATTGTTCCCATTTGGAATTCTCCAGGTTGGACTTTTCTGTATCTTAAAGAGAGTTCTCATGTGTGGAGGCATATCACCTTCTACTAACTAATAATAATAGCAACCACAATGATGATGTGATTGCTTGTGTTTTTATCCAGCCATAATTTGGCAGTGTTATTTACACATAATGTGATCATTTTGAAAGGACTTTTCCATACATTTGACCCTCACAGCAACCCTGTGAGGTGGCATGACTGATTTTATCTCACCTTATAGGCAAGGGAATTAAGATTTGGAGAAGTTAGAGACTTTCCCTAGGTAAGGGTCTTCAAGCCATCAGGCCATTTAATGGCATGGCCAGTTTTTTTCCCACAATAGTGTCTTGGTGTTTGTTCTAGTCTTGTGTTTATGGGAGCCTGATGCACATGGCAGTCAATGGCTTGTCTGCTACCTCTTCTGTCCTTCTAGATGTCCCATGGCAATATGGCTGTTGGGAGGTGCCCACTTCTTGCCCCCCACCCTCGCAGACCCCTATCTGGCTTTCTGGGGAGAGCCAGGTGTCTTTACTCTTGGCTTCAGATGAGTGAGCAGTTTCTGTTAGAGCTCCTGGATCCCTATATTTCCCCAATTCAGAAGGCGGATTATACAAATGCAAATTAAAAAAAAAGATAAAAATTTTGGCCTGCAAGATTCCACCATTGGCAAAGTGTAGAACTATAGATCCATCCTCAAACCCAGTCAGTCATCTTAGACTTGTTTTCTCAAATGCCCCCAGTTCTTTTCCTGGAGCCTCTGTACTCAGGGTCCATCAAAGCTCCTTCCATGCCCTATCAGCCCTCCCTACTCTCTAGAGAGGATGACAGGCAGTACAGAATTGCTTTTGTCTGATGAGCCTCATTGGGTTTTGTGCAGCTGGTGGCCCCTTGGTTCCAATCAAAGTATCTTCCAGCATAAAGTGACCAGCACTGATTTTACACTCAACCTGTCTTCAATTAAACCATGTTGTATACTTTCCCTCCCACTCATCCATATGTCTGCTTTTTATGAGGTCTGGCCATAACAGAGTCTTTCTTTCCCTGTTGTAGGTTATACTTGGGGCCCTCGGCTGCTCAGGTTGTGACAAGGCATTGAATAGAACTGAGAACCTGGCCGACACTGGAATTTTGCTTAAAATTAAGTATCCAGGAGATTGATTTTGGTGGGAGATCCAATAGCAGCTCATAAAAGGCATCTTAAATTCCATAAAACGCACAATCAGAGATTTATTGCTCTTCTAAAGCAAACCGTAAAAAAAGGCACAGGAATTCATTTGAGAAATAATGGGGAGAGATTTTATGTTTTCAGAATCATCTGAGGTCTTTTCAGAGTCACACAGGCCTCAGACTCTCGGTTCCCACTAGTATTCATGTGGCCTGGGATGGAAAGAATCCACGGTGCCTCCAGGCCCCAGCTTCTAAGGGTCGGTCACATTGGCCCAATACCAGGGGACCCTGAGGTCTCCCACCTGGAACCTGGTACCGCAGCCTCTCTCTCCCAGACATGCTCCAGGTTCTGGCTTCTGCCCACTCTGTGATCCCAGAGCTTTGGGGGAGGCTCTGGGTTCCTCTCTTTCAGGTCAGCCTTCCCCACTGAGTCCTGCCTGGGGTACTTTTCTTTTAGCCCCCAGGGAATTCTGAGCTACACGCTAAGCAGGCCTGACCAGCAGAGAAGCAATGTAGGCCTGTTCTTGGCAGCATTCCTCCACCTTGTTTTGGCCCTGCCCACTGCTCTGCCCGGCTGTCTTTCAGGCCTGCCTTCTGGAAAGCATCCCCTCCCATCCATTCTCCATCAGAGCCCACCTAACCCTTGTCCTGGGCCCAGAACCCTGCTTTTGGAGTCACTACCTGATAAACTACACCTTGATTAGGCTCTGAAGTTGGCCATGGCTCCCGTATTTTAAAGGGGTCTTCCAGAGATAGCGCCTTAACTCTAAGGATTGTCTGGTGGAAGGTGGGCTGGGAGCTTTCAGGGGCTGATGGCTCTCCCCACTTCACTATGGAGTCTGGAGGGCAAATGGAGCAACTTGGAAGCATGGCAGACCCCAGCTGCTTGAGCTGTCATGTTCAGGAGGTGACATCTCCCTACCAGGCCCGGCTCCCTCTTCCAGGCCTTTCTCCAGCCTCACTCCAAATACCCCGGCCAGCATAGCCATCTCTACATCAGGGTTTTCACAGTGAAAATTCAAAGCAAGCTCGCTTTGAGTCCCACCCAGTGCCCAGAGCTTTGGCTGTGAATTGTGGTAAGGGTTTCCGAAAGCTCAGGTAGAGTTGACTGAAGCTGCCTACCCAGCTCTGACAGCCACGAATGTCTTGATAAGCCCCCCTCTGGAGGGCTCCTTTCTGGGAGGATGGCTATAGCTCACAGCCCACCATAGCTGATGGGACTGAGCTAGAATTCTGAGGCATGGCCTATGGGGGGACAGACAGAGGGAGGAGCAGCACCACTGGCCCCGCACCCTCCTACCAGCTCCATCGCAGACACCACTTAAAGCTGCCCTGGATGTTCTCTGGCCTGATTCTGTCCAGATCCAAATGTTCACATGAGCGGGCCCCGGGCTCGCAGAGGTCTGCCTCCACGCTGTGAAGGTCCTCTATCAACGCACCTAACTCCTTGTGCCTAAAATTGGTCCATTATTGTGTTCATTGCAGTTTCCAGTGCATTCCAGTTTGCTGGCATAATTCACTGGATCAGTCTGGTCATTCTCTCTGTGTTCTTCTCAGAGGTAGGTAAAGACTGGGGCCCTGGGACTTCTGTAGGGCAACTCCTGCCCTGGGGAGACCAAGCTTTATTCTCTAAATATTTACTAGCATCCAGCCCTCTTCTAGCCCTCAAGGCTGCAAAGAGGGAGAAACAATACAGAGAACTGAGCTCTGTGCTGGGAAATGACGCTGGAGGGGCAGCTGTCGACCCCTTCAGGGAGGCCTGGGCCCCAGGAGGTGACCCCTGCATGGAATATGAGAGGATGGGCAGGTGTTGTCCAAGTAAGGGGCGAGGATGACATTTGTGAAGGTGAGACTGAGTAGGGCGTAGCTGAAGGAGAGCAAATGGTCATGTTTACAGTAAGGAGCTATAGATAAGAGTCTGGGCTGATGCCTCGGGGGCCTGGAGGTAGAGAGAGCAGTTTGGAAGCTGCCCCTTGAGGGGGGATGCTCAGGCCTGCAGAGGGCAGAGAGGATGGAGTCGCATGCCTGGCCAGTGGATTGAGCAGGTGCTGCAGGACCATGGGGTCTGGCTAGGCCGAGAGCTGCCCCCTTGGTATGAACAGAGGGGCACATGAACAAAGTGGTGGGATCAGGGGTGAGAGGCTCCCTTTATCAAGTCAGCCAGTAAAGCCCAAGTCGGTATCTCTAAGTGTCAGGTATCTCTATGTGAGAGGTATCTCTATGTGAGATACCTAAGTCAGTATCTCTATGTGAGAGGGGAAAAGCTCCTGGGGCCTTGTGGGCACTGGGTTTAATGCCAGCTGGTAGCCCAGCATGGGACTGAAATATGTGGTAAACCAAATCCCAGGACATTGCTCTGCCTTTACACAGGGGTGCATGACACTTCTTTCAAGCAGTTTCCAGACTGTCACACTGATACCCTGGCCTGCATTTCAGTGCTGTTGACTTGGGCCTGCTGCAGGAGGGGTCTCCCAGGGTGACTGGCAAGGCTGGGCTTTATCTTGTGAGCAGTGGCGGGTCATTGAGGGACTGGAGAGTTGCATGTGGAAATCCGGTTCTTCTCAAGAGAGCAGAAGGCTAGTCTAAGTCAGGTGGCTGGTCACTGCCCCTCTCCACCCATGTGCTCTACCACCACTGCCACAGGTCCACGTTAGCTCATGCAGAGCCCCAGTGGGGCATTTCAGTGGGCAGCAGGCATGGGGAGAATGGCAGGGGAGAAAAGGCAAAGAGCCTGTTGGGAAGATGCATGCACACACAGACACAGACACACACATACAGATCAGTGGGTGCTGCTTCCCTGGTGGCAAAGGGGCCTCTGGGTCTCAGAGCACAGCAGAACCTTGAAGGACAGGATGAAGTGGGAAAGGAACCTCATGAGTGAAGGTATGGAAGTACAGAATATTTTGAGACCTGATCAGGAAACCCAGGGAGTTAAGAGTCCCAAGGTCCTCTTCTGGGCCAGCTGGAGGCCCTATATGATGGCCCTCGATACCCTGCAAAAATCGGGAGGGTTGGGCCTCAGGCCTTCAGTCCAGAACCCTGAGTCTGGGTGTGGGGCTGGGCAGCAGGCATTCCAAGCACAAAGCGTTCTCTTTCCAGGCCTCGACTCCTGCAGTCCACGGAATTGGCAGGCAAGCCTGGGCCTGAAGCTGTGAATGTGGGGGCAGATCTTGACACTGCCCCTCCTGGGAGTGTCCCAAGCGGCTCGCTGAGACCGCTGCCCTGGAGGTGCCTCAGTACCCCCTAAACAGTGCCTGCTTCCCAGTCTGCTGCCTTTTTAGGGTCTTGCCCTCTCCAGCTCCCTGGCCTCCACTCACCATGATTCCCTCCCACAAACACATGGGCCAAGGCCAGATGTCTCCTTGCTACAAACCTCAGAAAATGTGTCATGTGTCTGTGACTGCCAACAAAAATGTTTAATCAGTTGTTGCGGTTCTTCCATCTATCCCTCCGCTTTGGTTTTATTGCCTTTGCAGAATTTATTACCCAGCGTGAATTTGGCATTCCCTTCCTGTCACTGCCGGAGACAAGCCACCTGAAACAGACAAGCCCCTGTGCAAAGGAATCTCAGTCTCAAACCCCCCACTCACTCCCATTCACACATCCAGAGGGGGATGGGCCTGGGGCTTCCCACAGGCCCAGCTGGAGGAGAATGACTGTGCCCCTGACCTTGGACCTTGTCGAAGAGAGGGTTGGGTGGAGCTGTAACAAGGTAGTAAGAGCAGAGTAACAGGTGGAGCAACAGAGGGCTAGCAGTAGAGTAACAGGAGAGATCTGTCTCCCCAGCACACCCTGACCAGCATGAACACAGGGGCTGGGACAGTAATCTTGTGATGAGGCAGCCCAGCTCATGAGCCTGGGCTCTCACATGCCATGGAGTGCCCGGAAGAACCAAGCATCAGAAGGGGCTAGAATAGCCTCATAGATGTCCCCCTAGCCTGTTCCTCAGAGGGTTTGGAGTTGTGTGACCGGAGCACCTCCGGTGAGAAAGGCCAGGGCAGCCAATTTCCCTGAGTAGTGCACCACGCCAGTGTATTTGCCCCCTGAAAATGCCAGTTGTACCCTTTTAAAAAATCACACGGACAAGGGGAGTAGCCTGGGGTCACACAGCCAATTCTAGCCCAAACTGGGCCCAGGCTTCTGGGCTCCTAATCTGGTCTGTCACCGCTGCATATTTTTGTGGTCCTGGTGCCAGCAGGTTGTGAGGGGACAGAGAATCTTGGAGAAGGGCTGCCAGGGCCAGGAGCTGAGAAAGAAGAAGTCCAACCCTACAGTGCATCTGACCCCAGACCCAGTGCTACTGGCTCATCCTCCTCTAGTGTGACGTCTGTATCACTCCTTCAAGGCTGAGTGGGAAATACTTCCTCCGGAAATACCCAGAGATATGTCTCTGGGCCACAGGTGGGGGGGGTCTCTCCGGGACTCCAAGACTGGTTAGACTTAATGCGTGGGTGTTAATTCACAGACAAATTCTACAAAGGTTTGACCCAAAGGGCTCCTGATGCCGTGGTACCTTTTGACTTGTTTGGAGCAATATTCCACTCCTTGTCTCCACTGAGCTTTAGGACAACCCAGAATGTGGGTGTGACATTTTACAAGTTGGGAAACTGAGGCCTGGGAAGGCGTGGAAAGCTGCCCAGGGTCTGCAGGAGTGACAGGCTGGACCAGAAGGTGGGTGTGTAAGTGCTCCATGTCGTCCTTTGCCCATCTCTGTGCTCTGAGGGCTCCTTCAGGGAAGATGGGTTACTCCGTTCTGTGCAGGCCCCAGAGGACAGATCTAGACTCAAAGAAGGGAAGCATGAAGCTGCTTTGGGCTTAGTTTGAGGACATCTGTTCAAACAGGCTGTGCTATTTTCCAGTGAGACAGATGCTTCTCAAAGTGGTAAGAGCGAGTCTCCCTCAGTCGAGCAGTCTGTGCGGGGTCCCATGGTGACCAAGGTGAAAGCGGGTGCCCTCGAACTTTTCCTGGGCCCTGATATTCCAGATGGCTCTGAAGCACCCAAGAACGAGCAGAGCCTTTGGGATCCAGATGGAGAATTGTACAAATGGTGTTTGCAGAAACACAGGCTGCCCCACCCTTGGCTGACACCAGGACCAGCCAGCCACGTGCAGCCAGGGGGTCCAGCTGCTTCTCTTCCTGACTGTATAAGGATTTAGGGCCTGGCCAGACTGGCCACCCTGCAGCAGAGCTCCAGTGCAGGCCACGAGGTGTTGGCCCTGTCCCCTAATGCTGGGTGTGGGGGGATCTGGAGAAGCCCAGCTCTTTTCCTGGAAGAAGAAAAAGCTGACCCATGGCTGGCCCTCTAGATAGGAGCCTCAAAGCAGTGGTGGCAACAGCTGCTTCTTCCTCCTCCTCCTATTATTATTATTATTTTATTGAGGTAAAGTTTACATAATATGGGGCTCGAACCCACGAACTGTGAGATCATGACCTGAGCTGAAATCAGGAGTTGGATGCTTAAATGACTGAGCTACCCAGGTGCTTGCACATAACATAACTCCTTAAACTCTACCCTCTAGTGCATTCAGTGCATAACCAGTGTTGTACATGACCTCTTTCTAGTTCCCAAGCATTTTCCTCAACTCTCAAGGAGGCCCCAAACCCATCACGCAGTCACTCCCCATTCCACCTTTACCCAACCCTTGCCGACCACTGATCTGCTTTCTGTGTCTGTGAACTTAACTATTCAGGATATTTCATATTAATGGAATCACAAAATACATGGTCTTTTATATCAACATGTTTTCAAGTTTACTCACATTGTAACATGGGTTAGTGTTTCACTCCTGTTACGTCTGAATACTATTCCTTTGGATGGATAGACCACGTTTTATGTTTCTGCCCATCAGTTGATCAAGGCTTCTTAGGGCCACCTCCTCTCCCAAGGCAGCCTCTCAGTCTTGAGGGAGTGTGGCCTGCCCTGTTACCTGTGCCGTGTGCCAAGAGAAGGCCAGTGCCAACTGAACTGAACCAAGGCCGCCTCTTAGCAAATCATCAGTCACCCCAAGATTCTGGATTCATGAGGGGGTCCCCCTCCTACCCGCTGCTTCCAAGCAGGAGTGAGCCTCAGTAACCACACAGAAGGCAAGAGGGTGGTAGAATGCTTTATGCTGAGAGATGAGGATGCCATTGCGTACCTTCAGAGCCCCATGAGAACTCAACAGAAGGGGGCCTGTTTGGCCACTGACTTGCTATATGTCCTTGGGCAAGTCACCGCCTCTCTCCGTGTCTTGGCTTCCCCCATCTTTGACCTGAAGGTATTGGAGCTGTCCTAGAGGCTGCCTTCCTGACCCCACCTGAGGTGGAGCCACTGCTTGCCCTTAGGGGAGAGTTTAATTTCTGTCTCCCTTTCCAACTTCCAGAGAGGTGGAAGGAAATAAGGGTCCCAGATCTGCCTCACCCCCAGCCGAGGGAGTCCCTGCCCATCCTGCCACTTCCGACTTCCCTTTCCCCATCTGTAACGTGAACAGCAGCTGCCCCGCCACCTCACAGGAAAAGCCTGATAGGTTTATGAACATGCCTTAAACAGACTGAAGAGAAAGAAGTGGGTAAGAGCCC